AGTGAGGAGAGTTCGGGTGGTCTCTTGGACAAATCACCCATTCAGTTTCTGCAATAGGGTCTGCACGCGAGGGAAGGCACAAGGGGAAGCAGGGCTTCCGCACCGTGGACCGGCCCGTGACGGGATCCTACGCGCGGGACCATAACAAAACCACCTAATCACCACTGACTTCATAACATTGGGCCACAGAAACCTGATGGTCACTCAGCCTATACAACCTTGGGCACATTTCACACAACTTCCCAGACCCACTCCAGTCATCCTCCCAGAACCTCACTCCGGATCCAACTCCAAACTAACCAGGCCTATGAAATCCTGATTAAAACTCATTATACCCTTCCAAACACTCACCCCATAGGAGTTTTGGTATTCAATAGAATGAATCAACCCCCACCCCAAAGAGCTTCCTTTATATTAGAATATATACAATTAAGGAATACCCTTACAAGGTAGAAAGAGAAAAAAGAATAAAGAAAAAAAAAAGAACAAGTACAAAGTACAACAGGGATTATACTAATAAGAACTCTATCACATACCTTTTCTAAGATGCTACCATAGTCATCTTCAGTATTGCTAGAAAATTCCATTGATCCCACATTACTAGTGAGCCAACCAAGAAGTGCTTCACAAAGATGCTTTTCACTAAGGAAAATTGCAAATAGTTAGTCTGTTGAAACTCTTATGTAAATAAGTCAAGCTACTATAAAGAACAGAAACTAACCTGTCCACTGTTAGATGAGGGTGTTCTATGCAAGAACATAACAGGTTAAAAGGGACATAAGAAAAAGAGCTACATGACACAGCCCACATCTGCAGGATAAACTACCACATATCAGCTTCTATTATTGGAAAAGAAGAAATAAAATTAACACAACATTGAATGTATTAAATTGAAGAAGATCATGCAAAGTCTAACAAAAGTATATAAATGGGCCATTTAACTAAATCAGATAACAATAACTAAAAAGAGCAGAATTACCTTTGAAAAAAGCCTGGAAATGTAAAAAGAAAATAATTTACTAACATAAAAACAAATTTTGCAGATGAAAATTTCTAGCATTTCCACCTTGACGAATGCTGAGTCTGGACTTGTGTGGGATTTTAGTTTTGGAAAGCCTAAGAGATAGTGAGATTTCATCAGTGGCAGAGCTTCTTGAGTGTCTTAATGGAGCCTTCACTGATTTCTTCCCTCCAGATAGCAGAATCTGGATGATGGACCCTTCTGGGAAATTCTCATGTGCTTCCTTCTTCAATGGCCTTTCTTCCTCCCCTAACCCAAGCATTTTGTTTCCAGTTAAGGCAGTGCAGAAAAGACTAATTCCACCCAAGAGGCCAAGATTAGAGCTTTCTATTGGGAGGTTTTCACCTTAAATTAACACTTGGGATATATTTAAAGGAAAAGAAAGGGTTGGTATCTATCTCCTAATATGTGTCTCTTATGCACAACAAGCTTTGAAGAATGAGAGATTCACACTCCATTTCCCTAAGACCCTTTCTGAACTTAAAAGTCCCTATTTAATCCTGAGACAGAGAAAACCACAAACTTAGATATGGGTTCAGATTTGTAATTGGATACTGCATAAAGAACAGGAAATTGGATCTTTGGTGGAAGTTCACCTATCTAGAGGTCCTCCCAGAACAAGACTTTTAGTCCAGTAGACGATCAAGACTACAATCAGCCTTGAACCCTAACAGATTTCAGGTTAGGAAAAGTAGAAGAAAAGAAGAGAAAGGGAGAAAAGAGAGGAGAAGAACTGGAGAAACAAAGGTTGAAAGAAGGGACAGATTCAAAATAATCTGCCGCCGCCACTCTCTTAGTATTTATAGGTTATGTTCAGTACATAGGGAAAACGACAGATCTGCCCTTAGTACTTACATGACAAATAAAGCAAATAAAAAACTGAAATAAATAACAACTGAAAAAACAAACTGACCACCAACTGACACTACCATGACTGAAACAAATAATTACACATACTGTCCTACGAACACAGTGGGGACCACAGCTGTGGGGTCCACATCAGTGTTCTCTACAAGTCCATTCCCTACATCATAGCATATAAGGTTAAGACTTAAGAAATAAAGGGCATACTTCATGTATTGCTTACCAAGGAGAGGCTGAAGTTTCATTGGGGCTACCTTGCATCCCAGCCGTTGTCCAACTGTCCACATATGCTTTCAATAACCCTGTGCCAAAGCATTTCTCTTTCTAAGGGAAATCTCCACAACTACTTTCTTAGAAGAGCTAAATTCTTCTAGCCTAAGTTTCCTATCCCAAGCCCACCCTTCTCTTTAGACCTATTAACTTGTTCCCATTTTGCCAAGTGATCTTTCTTCTCATCCCCCAATTCCCATAAAAAATCCCTCGTAAGCTTTTCTAACTACCCAACTATTTTAATTGGGATAAGGAAAGTAGACAGAAAATAGATAGGAAGATAGCCACAGTGGCCTTGATTAAGGTTATCCTCCCTCCCATTGAGATATAACTTCTTTTCCAAAGTGCCAGTATTTTAGCAAATCTCTCCACCATAGGTTTCCAGAAGCTATCTGATCTTGGATTTCCACATAAGGGGAGTCCTAAGTACTCCAAGGGCCAACTTTTGGCTTCACAACCTAATATCTCCACTATTCCACAGATTTCCTCCTCTTGCACATTTATATCCACAATACAACTATTCCTCAAATTAACCCTTAAATTAGATAAGTTCCCAAAAGAGCTAATAAGTTCCTTAAAATTTCTAAGGGAAACAGGGCTGCCATCATCACAAAATAGGATTAGGCTAAATTGTAAATGAAATCTTTTTGGGGTCAATTCCTTTTTTCTAGGGAGTGGACCTGTGTACTTTTTTATCAATAATAAAAGCAATTTCATTAATAATAAGCAATCAAGTACAAAGAAAAAGGGGAGAGATAAACTCTCTTAGCTCTCCCCAAGGAAGATTCAAGTTGCAACATAGCCCAAAACAAATTGTTCCTTCCCACTCCTTGTTTAGCCAATGTGTCAACAAATGCATTGGCATCTCTTCTCACCCAATTGAATGTCACCTCCACCCCCTATAATAACCTCATAGCTTTCCTTTTCTCATAGATGTAGCACCACCATCCATCCTCCTCATCCTTTCAAAGCCAATTTACCACCAGATTCAAGTCTCCTTCAATTGACAGCTTTCGGGTATTCAATTCCTTAGCCTTTTGAATCCTTTCTAATTCAGCCAGAATTTCAACCCTCAATGAATCACCTATTCCAATTGGGCCTGAACAGACCACAATGACTTTTCCCTCCTCATTTCTAAAGACTCCTCCAATGCTAGACGGATCCAGATTACCTTCACTACCTTCCATTAAAGTTACGCTTAATGACTCCTTCATATGGTGGGGACCAACAAGGCCAAACAGCGTCCTTAATGGGAGAGGAATCAACTACCTCTGTCAATTTCCTCATCAAATCACCTCCAGGAATGTCTTTAAAGAGGTCCAAGGTCTTCACCTAATGGACCACTCTAATAGTGATGGCTTCAATAATAGCATCCCTACCTTTTTATCAAGAAAAAATCTCTGGTTTCTTTCTTCCAAAATTGTCCAGCAAACTACAGCCCTTGTACACCTCTACAACATTCTTCTCTTCTTCTTTGGCCACCTTAAAAAAGTAGGAGCAAATAGACTTTGTACATTAGACAAAGGGTTCCACCTACACCCAAACAAAGAGAGAAACCAATCCCAAATTGAAGAAAAAGGGGCAGGAGATTAATAAGTGATAGCAATTCTCACCATTAACCTGGCAAAGAGCGCACCATTGGGGGGGGGATAGGCACCAGCTAGGTCTTTTTCTTTACAGTAAGTCAAGGTATTGATTCTTTCCAGATACACTTCCCAACAGAAACCACCCACTCTAGGCGGAATAGGTTTACTCCAGATGTCTTTTACCGGAAAAGACAATCCATGACTATCACTTAGCTGAATAAGGGATGATAAAAATGAATCACAGGTAAAGGTATCAAAAGAAGATGGAGTCCAAACACTCCTATCACTGCTTCAAGATACTGAACCTGCGCCTACCCCTTCAATGGGAGGAGTCCATACCCTGGACCTATGTACTATCTAAATCTATATTAATGAAAGTTACCATTTCCTATCCAAAATAATAATAATAATAAAGGATGGAGGTCTTGGAATAAGGAAAATAAAGATTTTTAATAAGGCATTGTTAAGGAAGTGGCTCTAAAGATTTAGGGAGTAAAGAAATTAATTATGGAGAAAGGTGATGTCATGCAAGTATGGTGTTACAAATTTTGGGTGGGAATCAAAGGAGGTGAAATCATTGTATGGGGTTTTTGTTTGGAAGGGAATTATGAGCTTTCAATCAACTTTCTTAAACTATATATCCTTTAAGGTGGGAAATAGAGCTAACATAAAATTTTAGGAGAATGATTGGTCAGGTTATTGGCAGATTTTGTGAATTATGCTCAAGACTCTTCAGGCTTAGTCAGAAAAATGTGCCAATTGCTGATCTCTATAATGTGAATCAAGGAAAAGTAGAGCGGTGCCCTAAATATAGAAGGCCCCTTCTTGAGTGGGAGGTAGAGGAATCTGTAGAGCTGTTGGCAAAATCACAAATGGTGGAGATCTAGGTAGAGAGAAGTGATATTAAGTGGTGGAAAGAAAGTAGGAATTGTGTATTCTCGATAAATCTTTTATAATTTATTGGCAAGAAGTCAGGTTGAAAAATCGGATATCAAAGGGGTCTGGGGGAATCCAATTCCTCCAAGGATGGAGTCTTTTGCTTGGTTGGTGGATTTGGACAGAATTCTTACTCAAGATTATATAAAAGGCAAGGGAATTCAATTGGCAAGGAGACGCTATCTATGCATGGCTGAAGAGGAGGATATGATGTAGATCCTAGGGTAGTTCCCTAGGTACCATAGCCATATTTCCTTAATAATTATTCATAATTTTCATAAGAAAAGTATAGGGTTCATGTTAAAGTATAGAAAATCAACATATTCATGAGAAGAAAAAAAATAAGGAAAAGAAAATTCAAAAAATATAGGGGCTGAACCCTTATTTTTGTTATAGGAAAAGAAAAGAAAAAGTAGTAGTAGTAGTAGTAGTAGTAGAAGTAGTAGTAGAACTGTAGTGGTAGAAAATGTGTTGATTAGACAAAATTTTAAGTTCTTCCTTACTTATTGGTTCAGGTTTTAGAGTCTTTGAGGGTTCAATACAGCATTTAGCAATGTTTGTATTGATTAAATCCTAACAAATAAGAAAATAATAAAACAAATTAGTATACAAACACACAAAATGAATATTTTAGTTTAATAGTGCCTATTTTATAATTATAATGTCAGAAAATAAAGAATAAAAAAGTATTTTACAATACATAGTACAAAACTGCTTGGCAATTAAGCGAGGCGAGCCTCAAAGGGCGCCTTGTCGCCTAGGCGCCCTTTGAGGCTCACCTAAAGAAATATCTTTAGCCTTTTTGGCATTAATATGTGGAGCCCAAGATTGCCTAAAGAAATCTTTTCAATTTGAGATCTGACATTTGATTGATGATTCAAGATGGCTTGGGGCTTTTGTATATTTGTATATAATGTGCAGGGTTCTTTTTTTATCAATTTGTGTGTGTCATCCTTGTGCAGGATTCTTTTTTTGCTTGGACCACAAAGCCTGCAACTTATATATTTAGTTTTCTATTAATAAATCTTTATCTTTTGCTATAAAAAAAAAAAAATTGTATATAACCCATTATATCACTTTGTTCTAATTTCAGCAAATGTAGTTCAGTTAAATATATATGCTCCAGCCCCCAGCATGTAATACTAAGAACATTTTCAAAGTGAATAGCAAGTATACTTAAGCCACCCACACTGCCATAGTTTTTAATAAGAAAATACGAATTGAAATGGTTCATTTCTTAGATAAGAGATAAATAGAAGTCATGTACCCACAAAGTTCCTTGCAAAATAGCCTGTGCATAGTTCTGCAAGAAAATCAATTGCTGCAACACATTTCCATTTCCAGCGATCAGAAAAATGCCTCAAGGTTGAAGATATACCAGAATCCATAAATATCATTCTTGCGCTAATTGTACCATTACATGCCACAAAAATTAGAGAAGACCTCACCATGGTCTAATCCAAAGTTCCAAATTTCAATTATGGAATCCAATGGTATTTGTACTGAAGAAAGCCCCTTAGTAGATGTTGTCCTACAAAACCATGTCTTGCATTCCAACAAGAGATCATCCAGTCCAAAAAACAAAGCACCCTGAAAAATTGTATGCAAGCATTTTTTCAGAATCATAAATTACAACAACCCAAGTTGATTTAGAAATATATAATGTCATAGTTGTGTGTCAGAATTCATGGACTTAACAACCAACCATCTAAAATCTAGATGTTATCATTTGATGAGGATGTAAGGGTCTTCCTTCGATGTAAGATGACTGTTAGAGTTAGCCGAATAAGGGTAGATTAGTCA